GAAGGCATATTGATGAGTTGGCAAGATATTGGTGTTGCGCTGATGAGCGCTGGACTCAGGGAAACTTTGAAACACTTTGTATCCATATTTTTGATAATATAAGCTGTGAAACTCGGTTCTCATCTTCTCTACCTATTATCAGACTACTGTTCGTTGTGTGTGGGAGAACGATGTATGGCATGTACACACTTGCGTGAGATGGTCTCCAGGACCCATGCAACCAGCAGTTTACCACTCATAATCGTTAATAGGTGGAGAGATCCATTCCGCAGCATGCGAGACAAAGACAGCGACATACCATTGCATACCACAGTGGTCACTGATCAGTTACATTTAACAGCCACAATGGCGCTTTGACATCTGATTCTGAGCTGCAACATGCTACTATCATGTGTGAGACCATCTTCACCTGAAAATAACGCCCGGGTGTTGTATGCGAACACAACACCCGGGGTGGGGGGGGGTGGTGAATATTCGTGTATAATGCCCAGGTGTTAAAAATAGATTGGTAGCAACTTCGGTGAGCCCCCAAAATTGAAGGGGGGAAAAAAAAACAAAAAAAAACAAAGAATGCTCAGTGCTGTGAAAAAGAAAGTTGTTAGAAAAGAAAACAAAAAATCAAACCAATAAATCACTTGAGCAGTATGAGTTGAAAAAGTCAAAACCCCTTTAAAACTCATGTATACCCCCGCTGTCGAGGCACACCGCCCATGCCACATTTGGATATAGCGCCCGGGGGATATATTAAGAAAGAAAAAAGTCTGGAAAAACAAAAACCTGATTTTTTATGGGTAAGTTGAATATAACGCCTGGGCGTTATGTTCAAGACACTGGTAGCAACTTCCCTGAGGCCCCGAAATTCAAAAAAGAAAGGTAAAAATAGCTAGGAAGTTTTTCATGCCCGGCAGGGCCTGCACGGCCTGGCACCCGGGCGTGCAAAAAAAAAAAAAAACTTTTTTTAATCAAGGGGGGGAAAGGGGGGTATAAATTGTTTTTAAAGGGGCTAAAAGGGGTTGAAGGGGGGTCCTTTAGTGTGATTTTGTTATTTTCTTTTTTATCTCCGATTCGGTGTGGAATACTGATGTGACCCTCAGCCAAAAGTCGTTTGTATTGCAATTCTACCATGGTAACCGATCGGACGTCCGGACCGGTTTCCAGACACCCCCAAACATTATGTAGGGGTCCGGTGTCCGGTCCTGGACGTCCGGAACCGGGCCCCCCAACAAAAAATCAGACAAAAAAAGGGACCGCCAAGGACATTATTCGTGTCCTCAGCTGCCCCGGAAAAATACTGGGCCGATTTTTGCGTGTCTTTTCGCCCTACCGGACATTGGTCGAAGGCCGGACCCACCACAGTCTGTGCAGACTCTAACTGGGGGGAGGCGGGAGGCAGGGCCAGCACTTTCAAACTGGCCGTTTTTGAATTTCACGGCCGCGCTGTCTGCTGCCCGTCACATCCCCCTGCAGCCCCGCAGCCATCCACGAGGAAGCCGCCATCCACGTCCCCCCCGCAGCCCCGCAGCTATCCACGAGGAAGCCGCCATCAACGCCCCCCCTGCAGCCCCGCAGCCATCCA